CCTGTTTTGCCTAGGCAAAACAGCAACTGGGCTACACACATCGCCATTTTCTGGGGGTTCTGCATCTGTCGATTGGCCAACTTCCAGGATCCCAGCAATCCAACCAATCCCTGCGGCGCCTTCACTCGTTGCAACTCTTCGGAAAGGAAACCAATCTCCTCACGGCTGCGTTTCAGCTCCTGCAGCACCTCTTCATCCTCGTTTCGGTGTAGTGAAACGTTGATCCCAGTGGTCTCTCCAAGGCACCATGTTGGTTCAATGAGGCCACCAATGTTGGGAGAAATGTGCTTGGGATCGGTTGGACACGAAATCCAGAATGGTTGCGAGCCAAGCAACCTCTTTGAGCCTGTTGGCGTGCCATCAAACGGGAATATTCCAGACCTTCGCATTTCCATAAATCCACAAAACCATCATCCAACAAAATTGGAAATCTCTGAACCAAAGAATGGCATTCATCCGGAAATCATCGACAAAAATAAGGTGGAAGATCCTCTATTTGTAATGGGAAAATCATCGACAAAAATGGTGGAAAATCCATGAGAATCCTCTATCATTTTCGCAGAAAATCCAGCCAAAATCCTCAGAAATCCAAGAAAATCTAGCCGAACTCCCGACCTTCGCGTGGAGAGTTGCGCCACCTCTTGGGCCAAAAGTTGCAACTCCCGGCGTTTCTGACTGAGCTCCTGAAGGGGTTGGTGAATGCAAATGGTTGGGTTTAAGGGAACATTTCTTGTTTTCAATTATTGCTGATTAATTTTACTTAATCTTTCCTTCAACATAACAATTTGTCAATTCAACTGAAGAAACCCAACCATGTTGAGGCAAACTTGACAGGAAACTGGCTGGTTTTTACCCCCAAAATGGTTGAGGGGTTTCCCGCTGTCCCTTCAACTATTTCTAAATTCACCATTTCTCATCTGGAATTTCTTCTAGACCGAAATGGGACATATAAAAAACCATAACCAATAGGTTAATATGGTAACAACCACCATCCTGGTATACCATATTGCCACTTGTCTGTGCTGGTGGTGGAAAAGGGTGGGTATACCCATCTATATTCCTCTATCAATCAAGAAGAAAAAATATCTATGACATATATGGCCCAGCCTGCAAACATTGCGGCAAATTGGTGTGTCACCCCAGCAAACTCACTCTTGTATAGTAAACCATTTTGAGCCTCAACATGATTGGGTTTGTTCAGAATGAATCAATTCCGCCTGGATGGTCCACCATTGTTGACCCCATCTGACACAAACAACTCAACGACCAAATGACCAAATGACTTCAAAAATCAACCTGTCAATCCACCTTGAAGTTGTCCTGCGCTTGGATCTCTTTCTGCTTCTTGAAGTCTTCCTGCGCCTCTCGCAGGGCAGCCTGGTGCAGCGGCCAGTGGCCAATTGGTCATGCGGGGACTGGCCAAAGTTGAAGAGACCTAGGTCCACAGTTTTGTTCGTCATGCTCAAGAAAAATAGAGTTGTCTGAATCCCTGAAGTCTCTTGTCCCCACAAGAAGAAACGATAAAAACTATTTCAGACTTGGGGGTACATAAGTTTGACCATGAGTTTCACCTGTGGCCAAATGTCAAGAGAGGTCTTGGAAATGCAGCTGGATGCTGTCATGAAAACCCTTTCAGCTGGAATGGGACCCGCCTGCTGGCACTGCAACTCCCTTCTGTACAGATCCATGGTGTGAAGCCGAAAGTGACGAAGGTGAGCAAAATGATGACAGCGATAAAAGATCGTCTGTGCTGAACCCGATCAATGAAGCAGTTTATTTCCAGATTTTTCATTGTCTTTGTAGAACCTCAAGCATTTCTATAGAAGCCTAACTTGGCGAAATCTGCTGGGGCACTTCCAACTGGATTTGTCGTGATGCGAAGCTGCATTTGCCACTGGTTGCCACCTTGAGCCAAGGTGGCCTGCTTTTAATATCTTTTAATCTCTCCAGTCCATTGAGGCTGGAGAACCTCACAGGCATTTACAATTTAAAAAAAGAAAACCGCCCACACCGAAGGTGTCGAGGCCTGATAATTTAGAAAGTGGTCTGGTACAGTTTCAGCTAGGGGGTGGGGGGCCTTTTCCAAATCGACCCCCATTTGCAACTACTATCCCCATGTTGGTTTTATCCCGAGATCAATGTTGGGCAAAATCACAGGTCCATTCCTGAACATCTCCATTCCAAGGCTTCAGCCCCTCGTTTCTTCCAGAGGTTGATGGCCTCATGGCCAAACGACTGCTTTAGAGCAAAGCCGCCACACAGGCCATGGTGCCATGGTGCCATGGTGCCATGGTGCCATTTCTTGCGGATGAACAAATGAACAACACTCCGTACGGCCTTACGGATAGAAAACAGCTCCATAGTGAAAGGGCAGCCTGCATGTCGCAACCCGATTTCATCGGAGTTGGAGGCGACCAACATTAGCCAAAGAGTTCTGCGATGAGAAGGTTGCACAGAATGGACAGCCCAATTGAATCTGCTTGATCTTAAGGCAAGCAGTAGTGAGGCTTTGCCCATGATGGTGATCGGGGTTGGCAAAGGAAGTCTGGACTGTGACCTCCAGTTTCGTTGAAAGTTTTTGGTCTCAGTGGTACGTTCGCAGAGTACCACTCCCAAACCCAGAGATTGAAAACCAAGAGTGCCTGCTGTTGGGAACAATGAAATGTAATATAATATGATTTTCTTCGTACAAGAAAATTGAAACAAGCGATGATGTTTCTGAGTTCTGACATATTCTGATGATAAGGAAGCCAATGACAATGATGGCCCAAGTGGTAGTGTTTCAATCTGGAAGCAAACCATTTCCAATCTCTCAACAACCCTGGGTAGAAGCATGAAAGCATGCAACCTCACACGACAGGAAGCACTGCTTCGCAGCGACCCTGCCTCGTGGTAAGTTTCGTTTGATTGAAAATGAACTGTCTGACCTCTGTCGTGTCCTTTGCAATTCAAATGGCTAGGGGCTAGTGGCCAATAGCCTGGTACCCTTCTGTTGACATCAAAATGGCTGGTATCTATGGATGCTATTCATCCTCATAAAATCATGTTCATAGCTACTTATTATAGATTGTTCATATCCATAGCCAAATTAGTAGCTCCTAGAGACTCAGGCACGCAGGCGTCTCTACACCCTAAGGTGGTGCCTCGGGAGTCAATCTTCCGCCGCTTAGAGGCCGAGGCCCAGGTTGCAGGTACCGCAGCTGAGGCTACAAAGGCGCATAGTGGTGATGTCAAAACACATATTCATCCCGGCTGCCTCGAGAGGGATCCCAAACGAGGGCAACCACAAGAGGAAAACTAGGTCTCAAAATGCCCAAAAGTTTTTAAAAAAAACAGTAAAAGGTGCAACCTGATCTGGGGATGGATCAAAATGATCAAAACCTACACCCTGTTTCCAGGGGATGAACATCTGATCCCAGCATATCCCAGCCATATCCCCCTGGACTTCACTGCCGTGCTAAGATACTTCGGCGCAGGTGGTGGGTGGGTTCTCACCATCGGGTGCGGGCAGCTCGCTACTTTTTTCCTGCAGGGCCTGACGTTGACCAATGCTGTGGGCCCTGCTTCGATGTGTATCCAGTGGGTAAAAACCATGCTGTGAACGAGTTAGATAAATGCCCAGTTATACATGGGTCGTAAACCAATTCCTCACTGGGACGCGCATGGCTGATTTGGTAGCTGCACTCTGGTCAAACTCCCCACCAGCCTCGTCCATATCAACGCAGGTACAAGCAGTGGGACAATGACTTGGTTTGGCCAGGATGTTTTCCTGCCAGGATGTGAGTAATGAAATGGAAACCGGTTGGTCCAAGTCTACAAACTCCCTGGCACTTCGTTCCGCACTGTTTGTCTTGCTGATACACTGCAAAGGCTTGGATCAACTAGGGTGGAGCCACGTTCATTTCTCGGCCGCTCCTGTGAGCTACAGCCACAACTCACCGGACAAATATATGCCAAGGGTGACCAAAGACTGTCAAGCCCTTCACACCTCGGAGGCCAAGTTGGAAAACCATCTGGAAACGGCATCCAATCACCAGCTTTGCCTACTTGGAAGAGGGGAACCCAAAGATCACATTTTTCTCTCGTCCCAGAGTGGTGGCTTTCAAGAAGGCACAAGTGTGGAAAACTGCGCACGGAGGCTGAACATGGCTGAACTAAGTAGTTTCCTCAGCACGGCGTCACAATGTGGAATCTTTGTGTTTTTGCGGCTGCTAAGAAAGACTGTCGCGCAAGAGAACGCTATGGGTTTGTCCGGGGATAGCCGGGATAGCCCACAGATGCCCAGGCACCATGAGCCCAAAGACAGAGGTTCTGCTCCTGCACCGAGCTCTCACAAAGGTAACGGTTGAGACATGCTGGGTCCAAACCAAATGGGAACCTTGAAGTTCACATCAAATTAACTTGTGTTATTTGGTCGTTCTGCATTCTTAATAGCTAGTCATGGATTCATGGATTTTGAAGGGATGTTCGTTCGCCGATTCTATTGGCTCTGCATGGCTTTTAAACCCCAATGTTCAGCTCCTGCATTGGCAAGGCCAGCACAGCTGTTGTTGGCCTTCATGAGAGTCACCAACGCTGCGACGTTGGCATCACTGGCTGCGTCTTCCAAGTTCAAGTAGGTCGACATGATGTCTGGGTAGGCACTCCAGAAGTCTTCCTCGGATGCTGCAAGAACATACTGCACGAACTCCAGTTAAATGAGTGAATCAAGCAGCACAAAACAGTGCAAAGCAAGTCCATCACAAAGCTACCGCAACACATTTTAAGAATCTTGAAGATTTCTGCGCGCAAACCTCCGCATATTATTACGTCAGCCTAAACGCCTTCATCTGCGGAGTCGGAAAGTGTACCAACCTGAGAACAACAAACCAGGAGTACGACTTGCTCATGCTGCTTTTTTCAGCACCCTACCACCTGGAAAATGTCAGTGCAAGTGAGCTTCCCAATTGAAGCCATCTGTATCCGCGCACTGCATTGTCTCAACTGCCTGCGATCGAATTGTATCGCATTTGGTCGGACAGCCGCCTGAAGTGACCTCGGCCACAGGACTGGGAATCATTCAGCGAACCAAGCGGAACAAGCCGACGAACATCAACGAGACGAAGCAACCCTACATGGCCCAACATGGCCCCGCGCACCTTGTACCAAGGATTGCTTCCGGCAGAAGAACATCCGCAAGTTACTGGGCAAACCAATCGCAGAAGACTACCTTCAGAAGTATCGCAATATCCTCAGCCAGGGACGTGAGGACGTGCCTCAAAGTGACTTGACATTGAAGTGCCAAACAAAACTTCCACTGGAACTTTTGAAGGGCAAAGGCGGCAAAGGTTGCTTGAATCGCAATTCTGCCTGCATCATGAAACAAAATGGATCAAAATGGCAGCCCGGCCTGACATGTTGGCGCAGCTGCTGGTGGCTGGCAAGTTCAAACCAGCAGCGGCTGACCACCAAAAGGGAGCATAAGTGGCCCTGTACTCATGATCCACGCCATCCAAAAACCTGCACCGAACTCCCTTCAACACCCTTCAACTAGTCAAAAGAAGCAGCAGGGCTCTTAGGGTGTTGGAAACCTACAGAATCAACAACAAGAAATCCATCGATAGAAAATTGGACTTGATCAAAGAAACTTAGTTTGCCAGCGCAAGAGCTGAACAAAGCCAATGCCTCTTCAGCAAGCAATAGATTCGCTATGATTTTGCCGGCCTCTTGGGGTCACTTTTGGTGTCTGCAGCTGAGAGACCAGGTATCCAAATCCATACAGAGTAAATGGCTCGTCGCAGTTGTCGAGACCGTCTCGGTCCGCTTTGTCTCAAAATCTCCAGAGGAAAAGGCAAACCTGCGTTGGAAAAAAAACTGCGAAATCCCTCCATGGCAAAGGGGTACATCAAGAATGCATGCAAGATCCCTGTAGCTCAGTAGCTCATCATTCCAAACATCTTCCTGACTGATTCCAAGAGCTTCAAGCAAACAAACTTATAGAATTTGCCAGCATAATACTACGTAGTACTCTTTGTCGAAAACTTCCCTCACGTCCCACGGTCCCACCTGAGGTGTTCAGAAGAACTTGTGTCCTTTTGGTGGAGGAATTCATCCACAGAATATTCGATCAAGCTTTCATTCACTTGTGCATCCTTGGGGCGCACAGTTTCAAGGACATTCTTCGCAAGACCAAAGCCGCATAAAGCCGCTGTTCACTGATGAGAATTTGCCGATCTTAAACTGAATTTTCCAAGTTTCCGCGAATGATGTGGTGCGAAACGCAACCGGTACGCCTGAACAAGCAACCATGGTTTGTCCAAGGCTGAATTCGAATGTTGGAAAACCTTTAAAAGGCGCGAGGTCCAGCGCGACATGTGGGATTTGAAGAAAATGTTTTGAGATCCCCAAGGCCCAAAGGCAACAAGAAGGACTTTGCCAAAAACTACGCTGGCGCAGCCTGTTAAGTCATGAAACATAAACAGGTCAAGTGATTTCAATAGAGAAAAACATGAAAAAACAATGTGAACATTCGGATTCGGCAATTCATGCTAAACATGGCAAACCAAATTTCTTCACGTCGGATTGACAGACACTAGCAAAAGAGATTCGATGTATCTACATCTAAGTCACCACTGCTGCACTTGTCCCCACCTAGGTTTTCATTGACTGCCACAACGAAGTCCTGCACTTCACTCAGCGTACTTCTGGAAGCAACAACCCCCGCTGATGGCGACAATCTGGGAGTCTAAAGCAACGAAAACGTCGGTTGCGTCGTGTACAAAATGCAACCGCGGTACGTGGAGATGCCCGGCATATTCCAAACTGCGAGACGTGACCTGTCCTGGTAGCCACCACAATAAGCCACCTTCACCTCCTTCATTGACTCCCCCAAGGGTTCCACCAGGAAGTACCAGGGCCAAAACATCAGCAGAATCATCGCCAACACCAGCAAGACCGACTCCACTTGGCTCCGTCGCTGCGAGTACGTAATCTTGATGGCCTCCAAATCCTGGATTTAAAGGAGAAACAAACGGGTGACGTTAAGAAACAGCATATGATATATATATATATATATTTGTATTCATTGATTTATATATATATATATATGTATTTATTTATTTATTTATGTATTTATTATATGACAATATAATATTATAATATAAAAAATATAATTATATTATATCATATTATTGAAATTTATATTATATTGTTTATATTATTTTTATATATATATATATGTATACAATAAAATAATATATATATATACACATATTTATTACAAAATCATATATATATAATATATATATATAATGTATATATAATATATATATATATAATAGTCAAACAGGGGGACAAACCAGGAACCCTGAAACAAGGAAACCCCAATCCGTCAAACCCTGCATACAAAACAACAAGCACGGACACTATTTTCCGCACTTGAGCCACAGCGTCGCACAGCGGCTGTTTCCCCTTGACCCGGTAGTTGTTGGATAAAGGGGAACCCTGGCTCTAACTATGGCTACTCTACACATCTATGGCACAAGATATGAAGTGCAAACTACACATATATTCGGGTGTGTCTACTTGGAGCTATATTGGTCTCATAGCTAAGGCATACCTACAGTAGACCTGCCTGCACATGCTATACATGGTGGGGCTCATGGGCTGATATATTTCAACTCCCCCCTCGCCTGTTCCACGCACTGTGCATTGACAGGCACCTACGCATCTACTGTCGCAAGAGCGGATGCTCACTGCGACCTCTGCATTGGATTTAAGGTCTAAGGGAAGGTCAGTACGGATGCATATATAGCTTTCCATTGCGCCACCGCCAAACCAGCGCCGCGACAAAGATGGCCCCGAAGGGCGAATCGGCTAAAGAGCCGTGGCAAGAGCTGGAGGCAGCAAGAAAAAGCGCAGCAGCGCCAACATGAGGTGAGCCTCAGCACACTGCGACCTTAGCTGTTGCGCCTTAGTTCCCAAACCTTAGTTTGACAGGTGTGCAACCACGCACGAACCTGTGCCACAGTGTCTGTTTGGTCAGTAAAGAGCGACCATCCAAACCTCGCTAACCAGTCATGAGGACGGGTCATAGTCGAGGGTCTTTTGCTGCAAGTCCAGCAAATGTGATTCCAAGTCCCAAGTTCGTCACAATCAGGCCAAGGACAAATAGATTTCGCAGGATCTCGCACCTGAAAATTGGCCGGTGAGCAAGTCGCACCCAAGGCAATAGTGGCAGCTGTACCATTGGACAAGGCCCAGTCCCGAATGTCCTGGAAGTTCAAGCTGCGAAAGATAGCGCTGGTAGCTTCTTCGAGTTGTTGCATTTCGTGCCTGCCTGCCTGGCCCACTTCTGAAAACACCAGGCTCGCCATCCTTGACGAAGATTATGGGCCACGCCCGCCAAGCCAGAAAGAAGGGAGGGCAGAACCCTAGGGGGGAAAAGATCCAAACAGACAGCAGCGAAGTCGTATTCCCAGACCCACTCCCGAACAAGACGCCACCCCCGATCGATAAGCCAGCCATGAAGACAGGACGCCACCGTGCCCGGACGCAAAGACCAACGGGGGCGATACCGAACAGAGCCACGGATGAGACTCCCAACCAACCGGTTGATCCAAGTAATATCCAAATGGACATTCCCCCCCAGCAGCATGGCCCGAAGCCAGGGATTGGAGAAACGGACACGCCGAGAGTTCTTCCAGACAGCCGTGAACAACCGTTGAGACGCATAGAGGGGAGGGGCACGCGCAACACAACCGAAACCAACCTTGGAGAGGGCGAACAAACGACAGTTGGTAAGGAAGTGGGAAAGGTTGAACCCAAGGCCACCCAGGAGAGAGAGACATTGCAACGCCGCAGAGACTCGCTCAGATTCAACCGGGGTAAGACCACGGGGAGACGAGTAGGAACACGCACCAAGGACACGGATCCAGCACGAGACCATCGACGGCTCAAACTCGGACTGCAGCAAAGAACGCTCGGCAGCCCTGCGCCCAACGGCCACAGTTTTGGCAACGCCCTCGAGCAAGCCCACACCAGCAGACCAAGCCTCCCACCGGGACAAAGACTGGCGCAAGGTGGCAGGGGACACCGCAGTGACAACGATCATCCAAGTAGGTGGAAACAGACGACCCTTCGGACTGCACGGACAAAACCCCCGACTGGACCCAAAGAGACATGACGAGAGGACCAAGGGCGTCACCCTGAGGCTGAGAAGCGGAGGGAAGGGGGTGAGAATGGGTGTGATGACCCCAAGAGAGGAACCGCTTTTGTCACATTTCTGAACAGCATTCCCAAGCTGGTCAGGAGAGGTGCCTTGGTTCAGGCAGGACTTGAGCAAGGCAATGATATCTCTTGTAAACTCATTGGCCTGGTTTTGAGCCGTGACTTTCCTGTTCCTTTTTCGCCGGAAACCCCAAGTGGCTGAGGCACCTCCAGCTAGGACAGGTGACAAAATTGTCATTCCCTCCCTTGCTAAGCAGGCAATGCACAGCATACTCTCTTTTTGATGGGATGCGCAATGGTCCTGAGTCTGCTTCTATCCTCCTTTCTGCCCCAACCTTTTGTTGGGACAGTTTAATCTGGATGATCCACTTTGATCAACCAGTTCCTTGCTGTCCATAGCACTGACAGCACCTCTGCACCTTAGTGCCTCTAAGGAGCATACTCCCTGACAATGGAGGTGCCAGGGGTGGTGGAGGGCCTAAAACTTGGGCCGGTGCTACGCCGGTCGTCCATGACAATTTGAGGAACGAGTTCCACCATTCGTCATTCCCTCCCTTGCTAAGCAGGCAATGCACAGCATACTCTCTTTTTGATGGGATGCGCAATGGTCCTGAGTCTGCTTCTATCCTCCTTTCTGCCCCAACCTTTTGTTGGGACAGTTTAATCTGGATGATCCACTTTGATCAACCAGTTCCTTGCTGTCCATAGCACTGACAGCACCTCTGCCCCTCTTTAGATGCTGTTTAGCTATGGACCCTGTCGACCATTTCACCAGGGGTCCTCCCATCTGGTCTGGCCACGTCTCCTCTTAGGGCAGCTTTCTTCTGGCCTGTCTCCTTTGGCTTCCTTGGACGACTTCGCCAGCCTGATGTCTGAGTCCAACTCAGCCGCTCTTCCCATCATCTTGTCCATGATGAGAAATTTGAGTTCCTCAAAATTTACCTCTATCCTTTTCCCCGGGTCGAACCCGGAGAACTCCTCGTTGGTCAGCGCATCTGCCTCTGTGTTCTGGGCCCTGGGGACCCAACCCAAGTCCAGGTCCAAGTCATACTTCCTGAGCTGCACTGACAGTTCCATCACCACTATAGACAGCGGGTATTTACAGCTCATGAAGTGGTTGAGGACATAGGTGTTGCCCAGATTGTCCGTGGCCGCTGTCAGGGTGAGCCTCCTCCTAGATGCTTTCTCCTTCATACTTTCCCCGAACAGCATCACTGCCGTTAGTACGGCCGTCAATTCCAGACTGGCTATGTTGCGGAAGGGTTGACCTTTCAGATACGCCCATGGTGCGCTCTTTCTTGTCAAGGTGATCGAGAACCATCGGGCATCCAAAGTGAGACCCGATTCGTTGACCTCCCATCCTCCAATGACTATCTTTTCTCCTTCCGCTTTGGCATCCACTCTGAAGGCTTCCACCACCTCGTCGCTCAGCCTTTTCGGCTTGCTCATTGGCTCTTTCTTGATCTCCTCTTCCACAAAGTCCAGCAGGACCGAGACCGCGTCAGGGAACCTCGCAAAGGTACCCATTGCCAGGACCGACGACCAGGCGAAGAGGGGGCCCAGGAACGGTCTCACATGATGAAGAGCCCCGGCCACGAAGCAGAACCTGCCTAGAGCTGATTTCAGCTCCCGACCAGTGACCCTGCCTGAAGCCCTGTGCTTGGTGATCCAATCGATCACCCACTGAACCTTCCTTTCCGAGATCCCTTTCTCGAAAGCATCCAGATCCAACTGGTATCCGATCCACTGGAGTTTGAGTCCTCCTCTCACCTTCTTCCACGACAGGGGAATCTCCAGCAAGTCCAACAGAAATACCCAGTAGAGCAATCGTCTCCAGAAGTACTCCCCCGTTGCCGTCAGCCATCCATCATCTGCAAACAGCAAGTGGAGCACTCCTAAACCGTCGGTACCCAGCCGATGAAGAAGCCTGACCACATTGGCCGCTAATCTCTGCCAATGGTACGCCGCCGAGGCTATCCCGAAAGTGCCTCGGGTGTGCAAGTACACCTTGTCCTCCTGGTTCTCCCCTGGCAACCTGAAGGCTTGGTATCCCCAATCGTCCTCATCCACGGGCAAGAGCTTGTGGGCCCGCGAGATGTCGTAGAGAAGCGAGCACCTGGCCCCGCCCCCCTTTGACCTGATCTCGTCCTCCACATGCGCCAGGATCCCTGCTGCATCGTCGATGGATGGAAACCTCATCCTGTCCAGGACCTTGATGCGATGATTTACATCTACTGAAAATGAGCCATCATGGACGATCCTCACCACTGACGATCCCAATTCTTTGGGGACTGCCCCCAAAGCCGCCACCGCCAGCTTGCCCTGATACCTGCCTGCAGCCTCTTTTGCACCCATCTCTATGATGGTCCCGGCTTCCACTTCTTCCATGACTTGCCTCTTGATATCCACAGAGTTTTCCTCCGCAGATTTGTAGTTGGCCGCCATTGGCCGCCATGGAATCCCTGAACTCCTCATCTGTAAAGTCCAGGTTCCATTTGACCTTCTCCTCGAAGACCAGAGGCACCCTCGGCATAGTCCTGTCTACACCGAGCTTCACCCCTCGTCCTGCCACTTCATCAATCCAGTCGCTATCCTCGTCGTCGACTGCCTCCAGCATCGCTTTGAGCCTCCTGAAGTTCACCTCGGAGATCCTATCCCTCTCTCGACGCTTCGGTTGGAAACCCAGCGCTTCCAACTTGGTGTCCAGTTCCTGTCTTGCCTTGTCCATGAAGTCCACAAAGGGTGACCCCTTGGTCTTTCCCCCAGCCAACCTCCAAAACACCTCCTTGATTGCGTCCCCCTCCTTTCTCCCTTGCTCCAAGACCCATTTGAGGAAGAGAGTTTTGCACATTGCCACCACCTGCGTACCCTCCTCTTTGGAGACTCGTGTCCTTGCCTCCACCGGCCATCGCCCGGGCGAACACAGACCTCCACCATCGTGGATAGTGCGCCTTCTTCCTTTGTAGACACATTTGATTGATGCGCCTACCCCTTGCCTATGCAGCACAGGAGCCGACACCTGTGCTGCTTCCTCTGACGCCATAGCGCCCGACCCAGACTTTGCTGTCTGGATCGTTTTGTGAACCTCCTCCTCCAGCGTCCCTCGTTGGATGTCTCTTGACCCCTCTTTAGGAGACGACAAACGCGGGACCTGACCACTTATCATGGTGACAGCGGCCTCTGCGATGGCCATGTCCAAAGCTGCTGGGTAAGCATCGGTTCCAGCTGTCCTGAAGCTGCTGTCGCCTGATCGGCGGGCCAGGGATACCTGAATGGTGCAGCTGCAAGACTTCTCCAATGGGCCCTGATAGTACCCCGCGGAGTCAAAAGTGGGCCACTCGTTTGAGCCCCATGCCAGGACTACGAGTGAATTGCTCACCAACCGTGTAGGCTTGCGCCAAGGGGTACCCCAGCAGCACTGATTAATGGCCACGGTTTGAACGTCATTGTTGGGGTCGTTGACCAAATTGATGATTTCTGACAACTGCCAAATGCTAGCTGGCACCAACTTGACACGATCCTCCTCTCTGATTACTGCACCTAGATCCTCCGGGTGTTCTCCAAATAAGAAAATAACATAACCATCAAAAGAAACAGGGCAGCGACAAACCGTGGACCAGACCCTAATGGAGAACTTCACCAAAATGTTTCCTAGGTGCAGCTCTTTTCCCCACTTACGACCCACCCATGGGAAGCCCCACGGATGCTCCTTCGTCCGAAGAGGTGGTGGGCCTCGAAGGTTCGCACACCTGACACGCGACCAGGTGGAACAAGGTGGTGTGCAAATAACACCGTGATACTTACCTGCTTCTAGATCCTTGATGATGGAGTCCTGAAGCGACTCATCGGAGAGATCCCATTGGTCTCCCCGCTTTAAATCAACTTCCACTGCTTCCAGATCCCATCCCTTTTTCTGCAAAATTTTCCGCAGCTGTTCTACCACGGAGGTCTTTCGTTCCCCTCCTGCAAACAGGTAGAGGACTCTATAGGTGAAACGCGACGGCGCCTTACTCTCTACCGCACCGTGCTTCCTGTTCTTGTCTACGAGACCCTCGTCCCGTGACCTGCCAACCCTCTCCTCCATGTCCCCAACTTGTCTGTTGGGAGACCTTTCGTGGTGCCCTCTGCTTTGCTCCCCCTGTCGTTCTTGACACCCGGAGAGGGGAGCGTCCCCGGGTCTGCCAACCTTCATGCTTTTCCTGCAGCATCGCCAGCGGTGTCCTTCCCTGCTGGCTTACCTTCTTGCTCCTTGCAAGCATGCATCGGATGAGATCCGAAACATATCTGGCAGCAATGGACTCGACCACAGTTCCATCTGCATCTCTGGTCCTTGTTGTTCCAGGAGTAGCAGATAGCCCGCCCGTCCGGCGTGTGGCTATGGATGGTCCGGCCCCCTGCTTTCTTGCCCTTTCCTTTCTTGCCCTTTCCTTTACCCTTAGGTCGGTATCCCCAAGAGCTTCCTCGTGCGTCCCCAGACCCATCTCGTCGTGGAGACCTTGACTTCATCCTGATGCCTGGCTGATGGCCATGACTGGATGCTGCTCCCAGCGCTGCAGGCGTCAGGAAGTACCTCTCCTTCACCGTGGTATCCTTCATGGCATCTTCTAATGCCCTTACCATCGGTGTTCCTTCATTCATTGCCTTTGTCATGGCCTTCCTCAGCTGGTACTCATAGCTAAGCACTAAGTCAAAGCTTGGCGATGACACCGTTTCCCCTTGTGAATCCTTGGCCTTGAGGCCAAAGATGTGCTCGCCGAGGAGGTAGTCGGCAAGTTTCATAAACAAGTTCGGTGTGACATCTCTGAGAACCGCTCGATTAGGGTACTTGAGTTGCACGAAGATGTACGAATGTCCAAGGAGTTTGATCTTCTGTCTAAGATCCTCCGGGGACTTTGGAGGTTGCGCCTCCCCAAAACCTTTCTTGATCTTCACTGTGCCCGATTTGTCTATCGTGGCACCCAACGGTTCCTGGTCCTGGTCGTCCTTCGACATGAACTGGACTAGCGACATATGGCGCCATTCCCCTGCTTCAACTTGCTCGAACAGGAGCTCCAGGGTGCCGGTTGCCGGCCAGACCTTGTCCTCTAGTTTGTAGTGCGCTTGTTCAAACCTTACTTTAAGGTCTTGCGCTTCTGTTTTGTTCACCGGCGCCGGCAACGAAGCCATTGAGGCTTCTGCCTCGGCCTTGTGCCTGGCTTGCATTCTGGTGCGGCTCGCCTCCCAGGCGTCTATGACACCTGCTATCTGCACCACATCTCTGACTGCAGCCAGCCCGCAGTGGTCTGTGGCGAACCGCCTCATATCTGCGGCCGTCTCTCCCAACACTGCAAACCTGCTGATGCTCTTCACTCCATTGTTGCTCAGCGTCCCCTGCAGTCTGGCTGGGACGTCTTTCCTTTCCAGCAAGCCCTGGAAATCTGGATCCAGAGCTTTGATGGCTGTCGCCAGCCCCTCGGGCGTGTCGAGGTCGGGCACCGCCATTAGGCCTGAGTATTGACCAGGGCACGCTGGTCTATCCCTTTACACCCTTAGGCTCACCTGTGCTTGAGCCTGCCACACATGTTCTGAGAAATGCAATGAAACTGCACAAACTGACATCAACTCAACAACTCAACATATGACTAAGGCCTCAGCAACAAATGACTCTTCCCTGTGACTAGCTGTTACTTCTTACGTCCTGTCCTTCTCGTGAGCTTCCTATTTCCTACACCTCAAATGCCCACAAGTTGCATATCAGCCCGCTGACTTTACCTATTGCACATCCCTTGAGTCCCTCAGCGAGCATCCATACCCTTGTTTTGGGCCCTCTCCTAGCAGCGTTGTGCCACTGGCTCTGTTCTTCAGTCATCCGTTTCCTCCAACGACGTGCTTGAGTCGGAGGAGCTGTTCTCTTCACCGTCAGAAGTTTCACTTTCTGACTCTTCCCCTCCTGTCATGCCCCTGGGGAAACAAATTTGGCATGACTTGTGAAACTTCTCAGCACTCGGCGGCTCTTGGCCCAGTACTTCATAACTACCATAGTGCAGCCCCGGTATTCGGTGGCACTCACCTACCCTGTGCAACGTCCTCATGGCGCTGCGACCCACGATGCTCACAACGTAGGTCCCCTTTAGGATCAGCGCTCCTTCGTCAGATCCTTTCTCGTCGACCATGTCCCGATCATGATCGACATCCTCCTCCTCTTCAGGATCCACCGAGATACCTCCCTCTAGTACCTCGATCCTCGGTGGATTTCCCACCTTCAACCAGCCACTGTCGAACTCCTCGTTCTCCTCGTCGTCGCTTGCTTCTTCCCACCTCCTTCTCTTGACAGCGCCTGCTCCGAAGGAGGTCAGCTTTTCGAGCTGTATGTCGATTGCACCTTGTGGGTAGTCAAGCCTTTCCATCTTTTCTGTGACCGCTGCAAGTATCAGCGCTTCGTCGAATGGGCCTTGTCTTCCACCCATCGACCTCCTCACAAATTCCGCAATCCTCGCCTGGGCCTTGATGGTGTTTGTGCGGAATGTACGCTCGTATCCCTGATCTGTAGTGGGACACCAGCGACCTAACTGCTTCATGATATCCCCTGGGATACCGGCAGCAGCGGCCCATGTTCTGAGCGTCACCCTTTCACTGTGCTCACTCCACACAGTGCCAACACCTTCCGAGAGAAGCGGCACCGTCCCGCCCTCATACTCGGTCCTCATGTCGCCGAAGAGGGCTTGTGAGCACCTTGATGCATCTGCGTACTTCGCCACCTTCTTGTTGAACCCGTTCAAGCTATTGTTGGGACATGGCAGCATGAAGTCCCTCTCTAAAAGACCTGCTTCCATCGACATCTTCATCCAAAGCTCAAAACCTGTGGAAATCCATGTCTGATCCTTCACGTAGCACTCACTGTTCACCCAAATGCGGAGCAGCGGCACCTTCTTTCCAGGCCCGCTTGTCTTGGTCTTGTTCAGCACTGCAGTGATTCCGAATGGACCCCATTCCAATGTGGAATGGTCCAAACCTGCTGTATCGGAGAAGCGCATGCCCGTCCACAGCTTTATCAGTCTGAACCAGGCATACGCTCTGGGGTACGCCTCAAGTCTGCAGTCGAGCACCAACTCTTCCAGAATCTCCACAATCCTGACCGGCAAATGCCACGCCTTCTTGGCGAAGCGCGGCTCGAACTCCGCCAGGCTCATATTGATCTCCTCAAGGACGTTCTTGACCGTTGAGGTCCTTCCCAATTGCTCTTCAACTGGGAACTCACCTGCCGCCTCCATGAATAGCAGCGTCTTGTAGATACTGCTAGGGACGGACCTCCCACACGGCTCGTTTGCCCTGGCTTCCAGGTACATGGCAAACTCCTCTGGCTGAGTCGGCCACGCCTTGTGGAAGGTGACCCTCATCCACTTTCTCAACCTCTCCCACGTCTTTACGTGTTTCCTGAGAGTTGAGGCTCTCCTTCCCTTTCCATACCTCTTCGTGAGATCCACTCCCTCGAACACTTCATCTCTAGCCATCACTGGCGCCTTTGCCTCCCGCAGGATACTCTTGAGTTCCTTTATCCAGCGGTTCCTTTCATTGCGCTCTACACTTTCCCTCAAGGCCTGATTGTCCCCGGCCTCATTGAGTCTCCTGTGCAAGCGCGTTGGCCATCTCTGTACTTTGGCCTTCCCCTTTCTAGGCACCATTTGGCGCAACCTCTCAGCTGCTGCCAATCTGTGAGCATTCATCTTGTCCTCCATATCCTTGACCAGATGGGTCACCAGAAGCTCTGCATCCCCAGATCGCCCCTCGGCATTCCAGGAAATCTTGGCAGCCCTGGCGGCCACATCGATCAACGTGCTAAGCACGGCCATGTCCACTGGCTGCCTTGTCTTTTCCTCCATGGACATTGCTACTGTGTCCAGGAGCTCCTGCTCGGCGTCCTCTAAGGTTCCCAACCTCTGGACGTTCCACCCGAGCCCCTCCAGAACTCTTCCCACTTCTGGAGGGCAGCCACTTAGGCTAGCCAGTGCCACGAGTGAATCCATGGCACCTAGAGGCGAAGCTACAGGCCCCTTCATCCTAAAACTTGGGCCGGTGCTACGCCGGTCGTCCATGACAATTTGAGGAACGAGTTCCACCATTCAAATCCAAATAGCGTTTTTGGGCCTGGGTGTCTTGACTCACAAACGTTCGGACTTTGCTTTTTCCAAGGCACACTGAAACGAAAACTACGGCGTTGAAGCCACAGTTTCATCCTTTTTCTTCTGCAAATCAAACGTGGAGCACGCACCCGGGTGCACCCCGCAAATCTACAAATTTGCAAGACCCGGACCTTTCCGGTCCTTTGTTTCTTCCTTTTCAAATGAGCACCATGTTTCACATGTTTCTTAACCCGTTTCCTTTTGCGTTGGCGGCCAATGAGCCAAGAAAGCAAAGAAGTGGCAGCGCAAAACAGCCAAGTCCAAGGAAGTTCGGGGGAAAACAACGGAAAAACTTCAAGAGCCAAGATCCCAAAAGACTGCCACGGCTCGTCAAAATGCATCAGCACGTCGCCGGCAGCCGCATGCGCAGGAGAACTTGACTAGGCAGCAGCAGGTCGCAGGTGCCATTCCACAACTCCATGGCATCGGACCCCATCGCGACCGGAAGGGAACCATTTAGGCTAGTATATGCAACCAAGTGGCTGGAACAGCTCGTCGGTGAGGCATGGGCAGCAGGCAAGCACCAGCACCAGCACAACAGCAGCCAGCTCCAGCCACTAGGGAAAGTGAGCGAAGTTTTTCCTTTTTTGTCTTTCTTATGGGACTTCGTGGTGACCTGGGATATCCCAGGCGCTTGTTTCGACCGAATGGACGTCTTTTGAAGGTGACCTGGGAATGCCCAGGCTCTTGTTCCGACCCAATGGCAGTGTTTTGTTCATGACATCTCGCAGTGACCTGGGAATGCCCAGGCTCTTGTCCAATCAGGTATTTTTGCACCGAATTGTTTTTGTCTTTTTTGTTTTTTTTTGACTTTTGGTCTTGTGATTTTTTCTTGTTTTTTTTAATATTTTCAAATCTATGCACCAATTCCAATTGGTTGGGTGAAACGTTTTGCACCGCATCAATGCGGCCCACTTGCGGCAAGCACCCTCGAAGAAGAAGATGCCGGGGCCACGTCTCTGCAAGCATTGGTGAATATGTCTGCCGCCTGGTCATCGGTGTTGATGTACTCTATCAGAGCAGAGTCATCTTTGAAGATTTCAGACAGGCAAGACAGGTTTACTTTGTGCGTTCTAGTCCTATGGCGAAGCTTGGGACTATATCCTTTCTTCACTACTAGGATTGTTGCTTGATTGTCTTCGTGAACTCGGAGTGTTACGGAGCGTGCGAGCAACAGCTCCCAAGGCAGGCAAGCCTTCTTGATAAAGCGACTGAGCAAGACTCACTACTTCGCTTTCCGTGGTCGATCTAGAAGTGGATGTTTGACGCTTGCTAATCCACGCAAGCGGGAAGAAGGAATTGGGGCCAGATAAAGCCAGAAAGCCACCAGAGGTTGAGCGTGCTGTTGACTTATCGCCGGCGAAGTCGGCATCGACGAATAGTCTAAGCTCGAGGTCTTCAGGTTTATCCTGAATGGTACCTACTAACCTGTAGTGTGGGGTTGAGGCTATGCACTGGATTAGTCTAAGGACCTTCTTATCATCCCCCCTGGACCACGACTGGACCTTTGTGGCCAGATCATTGATAGGCTTGATGATGTCGGGACGTGCCAGTCTACCTAACCAAAGGGCTTTCATCAAAATCTTACATGCATTGGGAGCTAGTTTCCCTTTAGTTTCCTCATCCTCAGTGGTGATGGATCCCTCAGGTGGAAATGCCGTAGCAGCATGTTTGTGTTTTGATACACCGGTTATTGATTTATACAAATCTACGGTCTGCTGAGCGTAGTCTGCCTTATCAAAAACCATGCCTGTTTGGGATTGGAAGGCTGCACATTTCTCATGACCTTCAGTCTTGGAGAGTGGGGTAACAACATGGTTACGTCCAAGAATCCTATAGATGGGCTCTGGGGGTTCTATGTCTACCACAGAAGTTAACTTACTCCAGAATGCATCATGCTGGTCGGCAGGGCCAGCTAGAGTTAAATCGTCTACATAAGTTGACAGAAGTAACTTAGCATCTGGGGAGTAAAAGTTTCCTGGGTATTCTGGAACTTCTTGCCCTCCAAGGTTCTTGATGATGACTTTTAGGTGTTGCTCCCACAGGCCTCCGGCATCGGGATGACCGTATAAGGCTTTTATTAAAAGGACTACGGGCTTAACAAACTGTTGTTTCCAGTACTTAGGGCGGAGCTCCGGGGGAAGCTCAATCCAGGTCTTGTACTTGGAGGACAATAGTGCTTGAACGTAAGCTTTGACCGCATCGGCGGCTGTCGCGCGGTTTCCCGGCAGCGGCCCATACGCTAAGCAGGCGTTGAGCCCTTGGACGGAGGTAAGATTAGCGCCGAGCTCTTGATAGACGGCTGCTGCACCGTGTTCGCGCAGTCTCCGCGGTAAACTATACGAGCATTCATCTTGTGAAGATGGTCAGCAAGTTCATAGAATTTGATGGACGCAATGGTCATTAACTGACCAAAGTGTACGGATACACCGGAAGCTTTAGCTTCTTTGCGGACATCTTCCTTCTCGCGGACTGAGCTAAGATCCCATGTGCCTGCTTTGACTAAACCGTCAGCTTCGGCGCGAATTGCTTCAAGCGCCTTAGGGTTGGACAACATTTCTGCACGAGACAAAAGCTTAGTGACCATAGCTTGGATTTCGGGAGTTGGTGCCTTTGGGTCCTCCAACTGGAGGGCCTGGGCTATCAATTGCTCATGCTCAAGAAGTTCTGTAACTAACCTATTAGCGGTGGGGTCTGATTCAACTGCTATAGCTAACTCTTATAAACCAGCTAATGGGGATACGTGCTTAAGGTGTTGTTCAATTTCCCTATATGGGGTTGAGGCTCGCTAGTTGCCGGTCGGCAAGGCATAGCAGGTACGGACTGCTGGGCACATTTTGAGGGAAACAAAGCTTGCGCAATTAAATTAGTATCCTGGAAGGCATCTTTGATGCGTTGGAATGTGGTCATGAGCTTTAAAGACGGCTGCCAATTAGGTGGCGGGTGACCAGGTTCTTTGGGCTCCTTCGGAACAGGCCGGAGCTGCAACAGGTGCTCCACTGCCCGCCGCGCCGTCAGCAGATGCTGCAGCTGCGGCCTTGCCCTTTGGTCGAGGCTGTTGCTGTGGTCCAACGTACTGGCAGTACGTGTCCCACTCTTCGGCTATAGGATGTTCGGCACCAAGAGCCAGTTGTTGCAATCACCGCACTGATAGTCCCGGCCTCGTGGATCTCCTCCTTGACTTCTACCAACGACCCTTGTGGGTGTGCAGAAACTGTCGCAGAATCGACACCAGAAGGCACGGGCGAATCTTGTACCTGAGACAGGTCGGCCCAGCTTTGAGATGTCTTGGCTACTGAGTCAACAGGCTGCGGAGGAGACACCTCGACGCTTTCTGCGACCTGTTCCGCACTGTCTGTGGGCATGCAAAGAGTGACAGTGAAAGTGAATACGGTTAGGGCCGAAGCAAGTTTTGACGGATTAGGTTCCCCAACAAAAAGAAAACAAGTCTTACGGCTGATAACCAGTCGAACAGGGGGACAAACCAGGAACCCCGAAAACAAGGGAACCCCAATCCGTCAAACCCTGCATACAAAACAACAAGCACGGATACTATTTTCCGCACTTGAGCCACAGCGTCGCACAGCAGCTGTTTCCCCTTGACCCGGTAGTTGTTGGATAAAGGGGAACCCTGGCTCTAACTATGGCTACTCTACATATCTATAGCACAAGATATGAGGTGCAAACTACACATATATTCGGGTGTATCTACTTGGAGCTATATTGGTCTCATAGCTAAGGCATACCTACACTAGACCTACCTGCACATGCTATACATGGTGGGGCTCAGGGGTCGATATATTTCAACTTATATAAACAATATTACGGCCAGGCGCTGTGTGTTGCCCGGAAGGTTCAAATGGCATTTAAGCATTATCTTACAAAATGCTCAAACACCTGCACAAGGCCAGTGTCTTGAGATCTCCCAGACGACGAACCCTCAACCTTAAACCCTAAAACCCTAAACCCTGAACACTTTGAATCCTAAACCAGAAAACACTGCGTATACGCACTATTTTCTGCAATCTCTCCGATCATATTCGACAACACGACATCCTCAATGTTGGTGTTCGGGCAACACACGGCGTTTGTGGGTACTAATATATAATAGAAATTAGTAGAATATAATGGATTATAATGCAGCAAATCGTATGTACTTGTCATCTTCATGATATATCGTTATGTATCCTGAAAAATCATGTCTATCAAGTCATGGAGTGTTTGGAAAGATTTAAGGATCCGTGTTTTTCTTACTTCAAGGTCTTCGCGCCTGGATTTTGATTTGGATTTTCTTCGGCATGAGTGCGGCAAAGAACATTTCGTCCACCTTTTCTGGGAGATGACATGGCTGCGACTTGTTCACACTGAATTGTGACAGCGTGCAACTAAGATGCCCAACGCATTTGTCCAAAGTTTACCAACTTTACGAAGAATACGAGTTCCACACACGGCTCACAATCAAGAAAGATATCTGAACCGAAGGGTTGATTCCATCACGTTGCAGTGTCACATCCAACATAAGCCTCAGCATATCCTTGGACAGGGTTCCAATGCCGACGAGCAACATCCAGCACTGCTCCCAAAGCTACCGCGTTTAGCATGAGGTCCGTAATAGAAGTTGTGTTTGCGAGCCAAACAATGCCAGCCTGAATGACTCAAAAGAATGCAATGTGGCTGCACGTCGAATGATGAAGTTTCAAGTTCTCAATGCGGCAAATTAAGGGCAATTTCATCAAGAGTAGCCTTTGAATTCAAAAGAAGTTCTAAGAATACAACAGCAATGCTGCTGTTGGTAACCATTTGGTATACTGTATGCGGGTCTACTGACATAATGGAGCGGAACGAGATCAAATACGATGCTGAATACCAAGAGGTTTCCGTTTCCTTCCTGTTGACCTGGTCAAGGCACATACAGGAGCAATCCAGCAATGACCGCACGCGCGAAGCGCATCAAACAGTACATGGTAAATCGCACGTATGACCTTGGACATGCCAAGAGAAGCACAGAAGCAGCACTGGAAGAGCACAAAACTTTGACAAATTGCTTCGTGTGCAAGAGTCAATAGTATCCAGGGCATCCAGAGCCCGAGTCTACTTGACCAGCCCTCTTCAATCTATTGCTAAACCTCACCTTGTAGACCTTCTAGTTTCAAAGCTTGAAATCGGAAAGATCTGATATGCTAAAATCATGGACAAAGTGGCATGACGATGAAGCGTCCGTCGATCACTTTGGTTCTCCAACCACGAGGGACTTGACTTACAGCCTCCAAGGAGACGAAGATCCTGGGGCTTGCTTCATGCAAAGTCCTTCATCTAGTGGGCTAGAAGTGGTGTGTCCCTGAAAAAACAAAAAAGTATGGAAAAGAATTCATAGATATCCCGCAATGGTATCCTTTCCGATGGAAAAACATCGAATCACACTTGAAACCTCTCCAAAACCCAACTCGGTCCCTTGGTCGCCTTCCGTCTGGCCAAGGATCATGCGAAACTCATTGCAAAGATATAGGCACCACCTCAGGACGGCTTCAAATCGGGGCCATATCTGGCCACTCGCAGTATGACCGTAGCCACTTTTCTGAATCGTCAGGAAACTACAAAACTCTTGGGAGGATTTGTGCATTTTTGTGGGCAAGTGAACAGACTGCTTGCCGAGCAAGTGGCAACAGGATGCAAAGCATGCAAAGCAAAATGCCTGCATTCACATGATCTTCAAATGTGCAGGATGTCGTGATTGAACAGGCCCACTTTGCAAAATTTATCTCAATTTGTGCATTGTTTAAATGACATTCGACTTTCAGATCTTTCAGCACCATCTGAAATCAGGGCTCACTTTCACAGCAAACATTGAGCCTGGTCTCAGACCCGCAGGCTCAAAGTCTGCAGTAGCCAGACCCAAAAAGGAGTTGATCTGCCCAATCCTACAGCAAAAGCCAAAATTCACAAGCTCTCGTTTGCAGCTTCTGTGTGGGCCTCAATGTTATTGTTTTCCACTGTTCCTTGTCAAGTATAAAATCATTGAGTTGTTGAAAAGTTTCGCGCTTCAGGCTTCCCTACCATTGGAATCACCGGCCACTTGCAGCCCAGTGTCAAGCTTGCTTGATCATTGGACACAATTAAGCCATCAGCTTGATTGCCTGACTCAACAAGAGCAGGTTTACAAACGGGCACCTGAAATCACCTGAAAACCTATCCACCCTGAAGCGGATCCACTGAACTGCCGCCATCAGATGGTGGAATATGCTACTTGGAGCATCATCTTACGACTAGGACCAGGATATGGCCTCGGTTACTATAATCAGTTTATACTTATTGTCTACTTATTATGTAGTGTTGCTTTTAAACGTGTTATTGGTTTGGCAAATCCAAAAGTTTGTACAAGCAATGCCGGGTTCGCCGTCGATCCGTGCATGCGAGGCACATACGCGGCTCACGAGACTGGTCTGAGCCAGGTCCATGTGCTTGTAGTCATGAGCAACCTTGCAAGTGGCTCCAAAAATACGAACAAAATATAACAAAATAATGGGGAAACTATCTAAAAATTCATGAACTACTGGATGTTCTTTTCCAAACCCAAGTCAGCACTCGTTTGACGAAACCAGCTCTGAAGCATACCCGATGCGCACAGCACTGGCGCCTTCCGTCTCCAGGAGTTCGCAGCGTCGATTTGTGACGTGAAAGGGTCGCCCAAAAAGTCCTGGCCCAGCAGCTGGAGAAACTCTGCAACCAATTCCCAGCCATTTTCAGTTTGAGAGCTATGCCAGCTATGGCAGCTATGGCAGCTATAGATCCAGTGATAACTGACAAGTGGGTTTGCAACCACCTTTATGTGATAGATGGCCCTGATTGGGAGTATTTGTGAGCCCAAGCAGTTGCAACATATCATAACTGGTTTAAGGATGTTTAAGGGCATGCGGCCATTCATGAAGCCTTCAGCAACTGATCATTCCGAATCTGTGAGCGTCCTTGCTGAGTAGAATGATGCTGAAGGTGATCTGCAGCCCAGCGCTGACCAACAGCATGAGACAGGCAATCAGCACGTCCAGCCAGCCTGACCTTGGTGGAGTACATCGATGAAGGTCAGCACCAAAGCGAACACATGTCGATGTTTGGACCACAGCCACTCTGTTGAATTGCAACAGTACATTATATTGACAAAGAATGATGAAACGACCAACAGCACGATCTGGTCACCACCCTTTGAAACTGTGCTGCCTGCATGATTTCTTCCAATTTTTGGATCCCAGTTGCTCCGTATATCCAAGCACCAGAACCAAATTCCAGGTCGATTCCAAGAAAGCCACAGGCTCCAGTGGAACCCACCGCTGTGGTCGCCCATGTGGAGCATCAGCTTCAGCAGCACCATCCTGCCATGTCCAAACAAAGCCCTGGTGGAATCTGCTGGATCATGGGCACCACAGCATTGAGGTCTCACAACGACAGGTGATGCGATGGTCGTCCTCCATGGGCACCACAGCAACGGAGTTGGAAAATCTGGAGACCCGACTCTTCCGCACTGGCGGAGCTGTCTTCACCTCCTCTCTGGGCATGTCAACCTGGAAGCCTGGAGAGTGGACGGAGGCGAAGTTTCAACGATGTTATACATTTTTTTTGCATCGCACAAGCCGCAGCTGCAGCTGAGTGCAGAATCCAACTGTTAGCTATCTGCTTCACAGAATGAAACTGAACTTGTGAACCTTGCAGCACCATGATTTTTTTGTCTGAATCACGGAATAGGAGGGAAAAATCAAATTATCAAAAGGGGGCAGGAAGAGAAGCAAAAAGGAGCAAAAGGGGTGTAGACATCTATTATTTCTGAGGCCGGGCCGGGAATATGCCCGCTTTCGATGACGAAACTTTCAGTGACGAAGCTTTCGGTGATGAAACTTTCGGTGAAGAGGTGTGCGATAGAGTCTCAGGAGAAAATGTTGAGTCTTTGCTGGGCCAATTCGTTTACTTTTTTTTTTGAAGAATGTTGTTGATGTCAAACTTATCTACGTTACCGCTTTCTCTATAAGCATCTGCATAGGTTTCGATTAGCCACTGAGCTCTGGGTTTGCCTACTCGTCTTGCATGTTCAGTTCTAAGTATGAGTGAATTAGGTAGAAAAAGGACCTGACGCATGGGATCTTGTGAGTCTGCTCGAATGATGGTGGTCCTAAGAGCTGATTTTTTCTTTTCAACCAAAGCTTTGAGAATTCTATAACGGTTACACAATTATGACTTTTGATAAGTTCTTTTACCGATGCATTGGTCATTGTTCTGCAACACTTGTGGGTGGGATATGTAGAATTCTCCGATATCCTTTGATCTGAAAAGCATCTAATCTATAAAGTTCTGACCGGTTAATTGGATAGTTTCCAACCCATATAAAAAGGATGTTATACATACTAGTATAATATATAGATATATATATATATTTACACGGGTATATATATATATCACTTCCGAGATGTGCTATGAGACATTGTGTCGCTCATGGGCACTGATACCAAAGACATATTTACACGGATATATATATATATAATTATATATATATATGTATATATGGGAATATCATGGAATGATTAAATAGGATGCAATATGACCTACCATTTGATAAATTTGATGGGAAATCACTGGCATAAAAACTTCAACCAGTTAAGAAACATTGGTGTTGAATCAGTCTTGGCAGCTGCATGTGAGCAATAACCATGGTGCTGACCAAGCCTTTCAGGTTCTCAGCCTCCGGTTGCTCGGGTCGCATGCTCAGCTGGGTTTCCAAGTAATCCATGCGGATGCTAATCGCTTGCAGCTCCTCCTCAAATTCCTGCAACAAATCAGATTGGTTGAGAAATCCCCAACATATACAATGGGGTTTATATGGTTTTATGAGTTGGTAGTGTAATCCCTTCTGATATGGAAGGAGGTGGGAAATGCATGCCAAAATGGTTGGTTTTCATGAGGAATCCAGCTCATGGATTGTGATACTCCCAATACATAAACGGTAGGTGATTAACCCTGAGCAAAGCACCAACAAACGCCAGGTGCGTAGATAAACTGCACAAGTGAACACCATGAGCACCCTAGATACCCACGCACCACTCTTCTGATTCGAACGAGGGATACCCCGGTCCTGTCTTAGCCGCGTCTCCAAAGTCCATATTTTCTTTTCCAGTTTTGAGGCCGACATTTCGGAAACTGATGGGAGTGGGGCGCCAAGTGGAAGCAAGAAGTCGGATTTTGTAGTTGAGTGTGTGGTTAATTGAAAGAGGGTGAAGACACTCTATGTTCTGTGAACACATAAGAAAAATCAGCAGATCTTTTCTAGAAGCTTGTAACTTTTGTAGGATGTTTTAGGAACAGGCTAGACTGACTTTCATAGCACCTCTTTCTTGGCTGTGTATTGTTCGTTAAGGTACTTGAGGAGAAAACCAAGGATTCCATGCCGTCAATGATGGTCAATGTCATCCAGAAAAAAACACTAATGCATTGATGCAGAAGCCCTCACTCTCAGCATGTTTGTTCCATTTGAAAGCATAATGTCACAGGATACACTGGATACACGTTGCCCTTTGGGCTTCTATATACATAAAGCGGCTTTGAAGATCATGAAGACTGGGCTTCCACCAGCTCAATCGGCAGCCCAGTGTTCGATGCTCTGCCGCATGAAAATGAGAAGCGTTAACTATAAAACACTGTCGCCGCACGGAAGTGCTTCTGCAAATTAGAAAGAGACATGAAGCAGCAATTCCAAGTTTGAAGCAACATTGAAATATTGAAGAGATTTGGAAACCATCCTTGGCACCATGAAAAATCACACGGCATCTTTCGATGTAGCTTTTCACCTTGAAAAATGTTTGCAGAAAATCCTCACTTGGAGCACGGCTTGATTGGCTTCCTGACAGCTTCACCGACAACACATCCACCAGAAGTCAAAGGACACAGCCTCCTTTGGAAGGAAAATCAGGGAAATTGTTGTTTGAAGTTGTTTGAATATACTACTATAATCTACTATATTTCAAATCTTCACAAATGCACTGAGGAGAAAGTTGAAGAGCAACACAGTTCCCTTTCAAGCCCGCTGTCGACTCACAACAAAAAACAAAAAAACTCATTTTTTGAACCTTGAGCATCCTCAAACCATCCATAAGTCTGCAACTTGGGGGTTAACCCACACCCAGTTCCCTTGCCTGCAAGATTTCACCTTTCGGAATGCCGATGAAACTTCTCAGCGGATCGCGCGCGGCCAACGTTGTCTCCTCTATTGGTTGCCTGAGATGGAAAAATGTGGAGCCATCTCGAGCCCATAAGCTGAAAAAACAAGAGGATGTTGAGATTTGTTGGGTTTCTGACCAAAAAACGCTTTCGAGTAGGGCCGGATGGGGAGCCGAAGCTTGTGTAAGCTGTGTACCTCAGACATCCAGTCATCCTTCAGCAACCCTGATCGTCAAGCATCATCTCGCTCGCCATCTTCTAGCTACCTTGTCGGCATCTGGGTTGCCAACGCACCAGGACCAGGCGTCTGGAATGACGACGGCAAAAGGATCCTGTTTCGTTCATCCACCTGACATCTGCACCGCAACAAGGCACTAGTGGCCACGGCCCAACGGCTCGCGCCTTTTTCAAAGTTGTGTGACTTGCGATCCGGTCGCTATGACCAACAAGTCCAGTGGGGATTTTCCTGCACGGATCAGCGCCAGTGCGGGTCTAATGGATCAAGTCCCTTGGCAAGTCTGTGAGCAGAGCAATTGGTTTGGTTCGATGCTCATCCTTTTTCCATACTTCATATTGGTTCCTAAAAAAACTGCCTTTTTTTGATCTTGGATTAAGTCGCGCAACGGCCACTCCTGTCTCGCAGCTTTCCCAGGGAGAAGCTCTTGTCAAAATGCCCTACATCCTGACGAAGAGTTACTTGGGAAGATGACCAACTGGGTAATAGGTTAGACTAAACTTGGGCTGAACCTTGTAATGTTGTAATTGCCATTTTTTTCATCCATTTTCGGGGATGGCATATAAAAACATTGCAAAATGATGGGTTTTCGTGTCATGGCAGTTGATGCTTCGGGCGTCTCCTTGGATGGTTCAGGATCCCCAAGCCGCAAGCTCCTGAGCAGCCAAAGTTCCAGAAACTGAAAGGCGGAAAACATTGGGAGAATGATGAGAATGCCAAGTTTCAATATGTTTCAATATGAAACATTCCAAAACATTCCAAGACATCCCTACCAACCTTCGTCTCGTCCAAAAATCATTGATGAAGTCCAAGACACGCTCAGCGGGATTCCCTTTAGCAAAACACCGATACAATAATTACAATATACAGTATAACTTATAACGAAAAACATCACAACCCGACTGGTACCACATGAGCCGGCCTGTAAGCACCGGGACCTGGTACACTTGCCTGGACGCAGCGAATGCGATATCGATAACAGTTGAGGCTGCTCGAGACATGGCGAAATTGATCTCATTCAAAGCTTCTTCGGCTTCTTGGTAAAGTCAGAGATTGAAATTTGAGGCTACTTGAAAAAAAACTTGCCAATAAATTGCGCTCAAAGTATCTTGCAACAAACCTCTGGCCGGCAAATCCATAATCATTCAGCTCACAACATGGGGCACCTTTTTCAAATGACATCAGGGCTGCAGCGCTCAGGTAAAGGCGAGCATCAAAGCACCACATCAAACAAATAGGACGCAAGGCCAAACCGCAACGAGAAGCAAAGCAAGCTGCTGAGTACTTGAATGGCAAGCAAGCGACAGCAAAGCACATCCTCCCGGCAGGGTCCAAACACATAAAGGACAAAGTTGATCAGAGTCAGATTGCTCATCTGGACTTTTCCATCAGGTCCACTGCACACACGCACTAACCTCAAGCTTTTCAAGACGACGAAGATCAGTTTTCCCAGTGGCTTGAGATCATCTGGATTGAACTCTGCGAAGCTGTTGCAAACCGTACCATCTGATGCATTGAAGTTGGGCATCCGGTGCCGAGGGCATGGAATGCCAATGAAGGGAAAGAGTTGAGGACATGAGTACAGGAAGTTTAGGAGTTGTGGAATCAGAAATAGCACCATGGTCTTGCTAAAATGGCCAACGATGCTGACTACTGCAAAGGTCATGCCAGCAAAATAGCAATATGTGTCGCCCACGAAAACTTTGGCGGGAAACCAGTTGAGGCGTAGCAAAGATAGGCTTACGGCTAAGAAAGGAACCATCAGAAAGATCGACTGCACGTGACTTTCCCGATATTCCTTGAACTCCTCGGGGATTCGAAAAAGCTGAACGATGTTCAAGACCAGAACTGAAGCTGCGATGACCACAGACTGACCTACTTCCAAGCCATTCACTCCAGCATAAATGTTAATGGCATGAGTGGAAAAAACAGCCAGCCACAGTAGGAAGAGGTAGAATCCAAATCCCAATTCAACAAAGTCGCCGAACAGCCATCGCAACTGGTTTGGCACCATCACTCCAGTATGATTTCCATTGGCATAGTAAACTGACAGCAGTGGAAGAGTTGCCAAGAAAGGGATAGGAATCTTGTATCGCCACCTAAGATCAATCACATCATCTGCAAAGCCCATGAAAGAGGCAAATGTGATGGTGAGCACAGCAGCTAGGTATTCTGCCATTTCAGCATGGGGGAATCGATCCAGCTCGTACGATGCAAATGCAAAAGGAATGAAGACCGAAAGAACCAAAATGTACACGGCAGCAGTTACGGTCCCTTGCGACTCTGGAATTGGGATGCCTTCGATAGGTCTCACAAGAACACCATTGGCATCACGCTTTGTTGTCTCTTTGTTGAGATCTATGCCTCGTAGATTTGCTTTGACGAAGGTTGGCCCAAGTGTTGCCACAATGGAGGACGTAGCCATGTATCCCAGGACAGAGAGTCCGAGATTCACAGCCAAAGATATTCGCAGATTCGTTGGTAGTCCCCATGCGACATGTGCAAGGGCTGCAGCTGCAACCACCAAGGGCAGGGAAGTCAGCCCTGGTGGAAAACTCCTCTCAGCCATGTCCACACTGTACTTGAACAGGCTGAAAAGCTACTTGAACCTCAAACAATGCTGCAGCGCAGCGAAGTCCGTAACAAGCAGCAGCTGTCAGGGCCCCACGATAAATGATAGAAGAAAGCTAGGTCTGTCCAAAGCAATGCAAGACTTCTATCTTAAAGGACTGCCGCTTCAGGTTGGGGGCCAAAATAGATCAAATCCATTCAAATGCAGCATCCTTCACTTTCGGAAACCCATGCACCTCTGCAAATTGCGTGCATTCACAAACATTTAGTTTGACCAGTAACTAAAAGTATGAATCAGTATGAAAGCTCTTTTTTTCCGATCGACGGCTGGATCAAACTGAAATCTGTAGCCATCTCAACAATCAACAGGGCTGAGATCGGCCTTTGCTCTGCTCGCATGGTCAAGGAAGGTGATGCGAGTCCTGTGGGGACATGCAATGGCTGCTGGGTGAAGGAGGTGCGGGGGTGAAAAGAACTTTACGAATCCAAAATTGTCATCTATGATGGATGAAAATCGGGGTACCCAATCGGTACCCAAAAATGGATTCCTAGATGGTTAACAATAAAAATCTACAAAATTCTAAGGTTTCATTGTCTCAAAATTTGACCCATACCAATATGTTTAGACATATACAGTACAGTAGTTGGCTCGCTTTCTGGCCGCAAACTAAAATTAAGGCTCTGGCTTTCTCTTCACGATCCTCAAGACCAATTGAAATGCAGAACCAGAAAAGTCCAAAAGCAATCAAGTGGCATGTCATGGTATCACTCTGTCGTGCCTCTCAGATTGAAGCCAATCGTGAGGTTCCTCTACTGTTCGCATTTTCATCCATGCAAATTTGCCATACGCCAGGAATTTCCACCATGGACCGGGTCTTGTCTTCCAAAATGGATGTTGAAAACTAACTACCAAATCAAACAGTCATCTGGAATGAGTAGAGTTCTTCCCAAACGACCCAGTTATCTCATCCCGCAACCACTGGGGTCCCTGCCCATCTGTGTACAATTCTGCTCGGCCACTCTCGCCAAAGCTGTACCGAGGAGCAGCAGCCTACAGTATCGCAGTATCGGCGACTGGTCGCTTCGGTTTTAGTGGGATCCATTGGGTAAAGCCAGAAAAGGGCAATGCTGGCCCTGAAAAAAGTGAAATGTTCTCATGTTCTTAAAAAGAATTTTGAAGAACTATCCACTTGAACCATCCAAGGATAAAGGATGAATCCTTGATAAACCAACTTTTCGCTTTGCGTGTTAAGAGATTTTAAGAGTGCCAATCCGGGAAAACCCAGCCCAAGTTTCAAACGAGAACGACGTCGCTGTCCCACTCAGAGGTCCAATCCTTAGGTTTCGAAAGTTGAAGGTGACCAAGTGACCACTAACAAAACCCTGGACAAATAGCAACATTTGGGGATGGATCACAGTTAAAAAAAAACACCATTTAGGTAACATTAGGTCAGCACCATCCGTCAAATGATGTGAAATGATGTGAAATGTAATTTTATCTTGATTTTTCATGGAGGACACACGTCCCTGGTCCACAACTACCAGCAATGAATTCGGTTTCACTCAGGCACGCGGAGACTCGGAGCACTCCAGGCCCTGTCAGAAACTTGGAACATCAATGGCCAACTGTTTTTTCTACTCATCAAAAATTGTGGTTTAGTTTATATAATGGGAATATTGTGATGACAAAATGCGATAGAATTGGGATATGATATGATATGATATGACATGACATGATATGATATGGGATGTCAACACTTCGAAAAAATTGAACGGAACCAAAATTTGAACCAAAAACATCCCCAAACGTCCAAAAAACATCAAGCACCCTACTATCCTTGCCTGGTAGTTGATTTCAAGTTGAAAGGGCTCGATGGACTGCCAGGACTCTTTGGACTCAAAGCGCTTCCCCGTTTTGGGCTGGTCGAATCCTTGGAACAACATGCACCATGCTGTTGCATGTTGCACGTTGCATGTTTCAGAAAACATAACACAACATAAACATGCTGGGTTTGGACAAATCTCTGAATTTCACAACCCGACCCATTGTTTTTTCGGCAAGCATCCATTCGGTCCATGCGCAAAGTTGCAGCCATGCCGAGACAACACTGCCGTGTGCAAATGCTCCGCCAACCAGCTCCACAACATCCATTGGTTCTCATTGGTTCACTATGACATGTGTTTGAACAATACGGTTACGTTGGGTCAATGTATCGTGATTGAAACAATATTTTTTAGCTGGAGCACACTGGCAGAAGGGACAACACCGCAATGCATGACAGTTCCACAACATCACAACTTCACATATCAAAGATCTGATTTTTCCTTATTTGTCCATGTTTTAAAACAAGAAACAATCCATGTGCAAGTAGACTTGTTTCTTCAACAACCAAAAACAACACTCCATAGAAGCACTGCCACCAATCAGGCAAGAGAATACAGGACGATCTCTCTCTTTTTGACCACCAGTGATGGCGTCATGGTCATTGCCGAGGCGACTTTCAGTTGAATAAGTTCTTGAATTTGCATGGCTTACGAAGAAACTGGTTTGAGGAACTGCATATTGTATATCATTAGAGCCATGAGAAGATTTCGACAAAGGAAGCCTCGGATATTTGGTTGGGTTTGCATAAGTGGGAGATTAGCAAGATAGTTTTTGATCCATACAAACACTCAGTTTTTTTGGGGCAGCTACCCGAAGAATCTGCTCGGTCGACCGCGCAGAGTTTCATCGGTCACTATGGATGATTTTGGTGGGTTGAAACAAGTTGAAACTCTGCAAAAACCAACTTATCCGTTCTCCGTCTAAGCCAGCAAGACTTGCTCATCCACTAAGGTTTGTCAACTCGATCACCAGCTGAAGGACAGAACCACAAACTCAGGCGCACAGAACATGCAGAACACAACATCTTTGATGGCCACCACCCACAGGAAAACATTGTTTTCTGAAGCAGCGCATGCCAAGTCAGCAACTTGTGATGCCACTGTCCCACACAAACCGTTTTTGCGCAACTTTCCAGCAGAGCCAGCGAATAAAACATGATTTTGGAAACAACTGCAGAGCGACTGATGAAACCACTGCGACACACTGGGGACCACCATTGCGCTTCAACCAAATACATCTCCAAGTGCGCCTGCATCCTGCAGCAGGGCACACCACTGTCGAAAAAGGACGCTGCACTGTACGCCCCCACAAAAAACACCACTGTGTCGCCGGTGTAGCTCAAACACGCCTCATCTGCAGGTTCAAACTCACATCCACCCACAATTCGGTTTGGTTCCGCTGCGTTTCACATTTCGGGCAATGAACGGTTAACCGCTTGCACCACATAGACTCCCACCACACGGGCAACACATCCAAAATTGCGAAGAAAGATGGAGCGGTCTTTTGAGCCTCAGGGCCTATGCAATCTGAGTCTGAACTTGTGAAACTTTCCACATGAATTTCCATGTGTGATTGTCCATGTTTCTGCAAACGAGTGCTGTGTCCAAGTCCTTGCACTCCTCCTAAAGTGTGCAAGTTTCAGCTGCACAATTTCTTCTCTTTGACTTGACCGGTCTCACAGCAGATTTTGCTGTAGACCCATCCACACTTTTCCATTTTTTTTCCATCAGTTCCACCTTCAGTGAAAAACTGTCGTGCAACTCTTTTGAGATTGGTTGGTTTCCTTTGTCCAGCTCATCTGATCCCCAATTGCGTCTCAAACTCTTCCACATAGTTTTGAAACACTCCAGCCATGTGTGATCTTGAGTGGTTATTGCTCTTCCCCTCCACAACGTCCATGAGCAGCCTGTGAAATTGCATGTCACTCAATGCAACACTAGGAGAACCTTGGTCCAAAACCATAAGCACCAATTGTTGAACTGCTGCTGCATCTTGGTACTCATGTCTCGACAAGCATTCATTGATCAGAGTCCTCAACCTTTGCAGAATGTGACCTCGGCTGCTGACATCTTCAACAGGCGGGTCCACCTCCATCTCAGACTCTTCTCCTTCTTCTTGCCGTGGTTGATCAAGAGTTGCTTGATCTGTTGTATCTGTTGCTCCATGGATGCCAGTGGAATGTTGGGCCACCAAACGCATATATCGATCACCACCCATCACGTGAAATGATGTGAGGTTGGCTTGCTCTGTCTTGTACATATGTCTATTTTGTTCTACAGACAGTTCATTGTACCTCCGGAATCCCCCCATCTCGACCAGCCCATAGTGTATGCTGCTGGCATAGTCTTGAAGGAAATCCAGATCTCTCGCAGTTTCTCCCAAGCCAAACTCCGTATGGATCAATCGCCCACTGTAGTCTGAATAGGCCGTGTCCAGTTCTGCAACTTGAAGGCCTAGATAGTAGTGCTGCTCTTCCATGATTGTCATTCCACGTTTTCACTTGCGGTAAAACCAATAGCCCGCACATCCAAAAATGACCCATGTGGCCACAACCAGAAAAATGCAGACCAAGTCGAGAATCTTGCTGTCCTCCATCATCGTTGCTGTTGCTGCTGCACTGCATTGGTCTACGGGACCAATGGCACATGTAGATTCCTCCAGCTCACCTGAAAGAACATAGCCGTTTGCACCACTTGACCCAAGGCCCATCACAGTAGCAACGCGCATCAAACTCTTTGCCAGTTGCATGATCTGCCTCCTTGAGGCATGCTTTTCAACTTGTTCATAATGTTCATGCTGTCCAATGATTGTCAAACCATTGTCTTTGCACACTCCAAGTTCATGAAGTAAAACCTTAACCCTTTGTTGAGGAAGCGCCTTTGTGCAGAGATCGGCAACATTCCATGCCGTAGGTAGCTGCTGCAAGAAAACATCACCTGACAAAACATGCTGTTGTATCCAAAGTATCTTGCCATCAAGATGTCAGACTTTTCCCACACCCTGTTTGGATGCCAGTTGTCTGGCCGAAGAGCTGTCTGTCAGAAGGTAATGGGAAACATCAGCTCCAGTGAGGAATGAAAGACAACGCCTGATGTAGATGCCATCTGCCAAAGTGCTCACCATGCCATGTAGCTCAGCCTCGCAAGATGAGAGGCTTACAGTTCTCTGCGTCCTTGGAGAACCAAACATGTAGAACCCGTTGATCAAATGGATGCCAGCGCTTGTACTCCTCCTGTGTTCTTTGTTCGAGCTCCAGTCTGAATCACTTGCACTCTCCAGCACCCAAAATGACTCATTGGTGTTTTCCATCTTCCCTGGCCACCTTCAGTTTCTGCAATGACCACTGCATAGGATGAAGTTCCCTTGACATAACCCATGACCTTCTTGAGCCTTTGCAACGCTGTCACAGTTGGTTGAGCCATCTTTGCTGACAACTCCTTGACACAAAACAAGAGATCTGGTCTGTCTTTTGCTAAGTAGAGCAAACCTCCAACTATGGGCATCACGGGATGTCAAGTTTGAAGACACATCAGGAAGTTGAATGGAAGCACCACATGTCACATGCTGTACACGCACTTGACCAAAATTACTTTCAAAGTTTTCCACCAACTTGTCAAAGTTGGTTCCTGGAACCACCCATGATCCACTCTCACCAGCTTTCGTTTCAAGAAGGAAATTGAGCTCCCTTCACCTTCCAAAACTGATGCACTAACGCTGAACTGCTCCTTCAAGTTTGGCAAAACCTGTTCTTCCCAAAACTTGCGCTTTCCCACAAACAAAACTTCGTCAACATGCAACATCAACGCTGAATGTTCATTTCGGCAGAGACTGCAAAGACATGGTTGCTCTGTGCACCGCTCATAGCCAGCTTTTGCACCAAGACGTTGGCCTGGGAAGTTCTTGGCTATGATATACTTTCTGCCTGCCAGTGTCACTGCAAAGGGCTTTGCTTGTGGTACACATAGGAAAAGCATCCTTGATGTCAACTGTTGCCAAAACATGTTCTGCTGCATGGTTTTCACAGCCACGTCGTTCAGCACATCGTTGCAAGTAAACCATTGGCAAAAGGTTCATCACATGAGTTGATGTCGCAGGACTGAAGCAATCATCCCTGCGTTCCATGAAGGCATACTCTCTGGCCACCAAGCGGCTACGTCGATTTTTTTTTGTGCCCGAGCCCGTTGCCTTTCGGCGGGTCTACGGTACTTGAGACTTGCTCGTCTACCACGTCACGATCGCGGCCCCGCACCCGGGGGGAATCGATCCGCGGCTAGCTGTCTATGCACGGTCCTGAGACGGGCATTATACCACTACGCGACGAGATCGCCTCACCAAGCGGCTACGCCGAAGCCATATTTTTGGTTACACTTCCATCATTCAAGGTGTAATCCCTTGGCACGCCAGTCATGAACAAACTTTGTTGTCAAGGAGTCTCGAACATCACTCTGAAAAAGCTCCTTCTTGATCAAAACTTCCATGGCTAACAAGCGTGAAATTTCAACCTCATTTGTAAGCATGTCAACCCATTCTGGTGGTTCATCAGGTTGACGCTCCATGCTGTAATCACTCCAAATCTTCCGGAACGTCCTTGAAGTGCAAAGAGCCTTCATCAGCCCACAAATCAGCTGAGTCATCTTGCTGTTCCATGTCTTGATCATTCTCATAGTTGTCCATGGTGTGGAACTTCTAATTGCCAAATTCCACAGTTCTGATTCTTGAAGCATACTCCTGAGAGCGCTTGGGATCATCACCCCTGGCACGTTTTGCTTGATGCTCCTCAATGTCAACATAGTGCACGTGTTGTTGAAGAAGCACGTGGTGTCAAAGCGATCTCATCGCGTAGTGGTACAATGCCCGTCTCAGGACCGTGCACAGAAAGCTAGCCGCGGATCGATTCCCCGGGTACTGGGCCGCGATCGTGACGTGGTAGACGACTAAGTTTCAACTACCGTAGACCCGCCGAAAGGCAACGGGGTCGGGCCAAAAAAGGAGAAGCACGTGGTGTCTGTGAACATATGCTCCATGGATCCTTCACCACAAATGGAGTGACTGGAGCTGCACTGCCTGCAACACCCAGGAACTCCTCCTGTGTCTGCCTCCAAATCATCTCCAACCTCAACAACAACAACTTCAGCTTCATGCTGTCCTATGTCATCCTCAAAGCTAACTCCAGGTAGTGCATCGTCTTCACTGCAGGAAGTTCATGGCGGTCATTATGTGCCCATTTCAACCCTTTCTGATTCTTATCT